TCTCCCATTGACTCAGAATTCGATTCTAAACCCACCTGTGACCAAATCAGAGCCAAAACACCGGCCAATTGGTCAGAAAACGCTGCCGAAGCCCAACAGCGCCACCGCTAATTTTCTCGATTTTTGCCTCCGATGAGGCCCTTCCCGATTCCCGTTCGATGTAATTTTTTCACAATTGTGACCACCGTTCCTTTTTCTATAGGTTGATTGGAGCAAAACATTAAATCGCGACTCGAGCCGGAGGAGCCGCAGCACCGGAGAGCCCCGCACCGGTAAGTTTCGATTTTCAGTGTTTTTTCGGCCCACCGAGAGCCCTAGGGTGTTTTCTCACAGGAACCAATGCAAGTTTGGCCGAATTCGGCCGGAAACGACCAACCGAGGCGGATCGCCGTCGCCGGAGCACGGTGGAGCCGCCTTGCCGGAATTCTGAAATTTGCCAAATAGACCTCGGGTCTGATTTTTTAATTATTTGGAATATGTGTAGATACCGTAAGTGCGTTTCAGTTCTCGAGAGAAAATTCAGAGAACCCAGGGACTGCCCGTAGGCGCAGTGAAAAAAATCCGATTTTCGACTTCGAATCAGGTAAGGACCCCTCACCCTATTTCCTATCACGGGGTTAAAGTCTAATAAATGATAAAACTGTATTTGTATGAATTAAATAGATATATATAATTATTACGGTTGTTAATGGAGCCCGAACTGGACACATTTCTCTGTCAGTTCCTGTTTGATTTATTTTACAGTATAAATGCAGTATGGTATATGATTTATTTATTCTATGGTTTTGAATGCATGAATCACTGTTTACTTCATTATGGCTTGATTTTGTGAATTCGATGATATGTTTGCCTTGTTGGATGCTCGTTACTTGTTTAAGTATTCATGTTTATATGAGAAACAGAAAACTAAGGGAAAAAAATAGAAAAGGTATGTGAATTGATAAATGGATAAGTTGACAGCCTCACTAGATATCCTAGGAGATGGTGGACGGACTGGGTCCATGGGGAACCCTACCTGGAACGTTGTCTCATACCGGACGAGGTATAGAGGCTTTCAATGTTTTGGCGCTCATATCGGACGGGGTATGGGGATGGCCCGCTTCACCCTCATGCCGGACGGGGTATTGAAGTTTTTATTATTTAGCGCCCATAACGGACGGGGTACAGGGACGACCCTGGGAATTAAGTTTGTTAAAGGAATGGTTCACGTGTAACGGGGACCCCTATAGATCCTCAC